TTATTTACAATAGAAAATAAAAAAAACATATCAAATTGGGGCTGTATATACTGTATGTTCAAATCAAAAGCAACTCAAGAAAAGGTAGCCTGTATCCACTGTATTGAACTAGACCTAATTGACTACATAATTTAGATTCACAATGCTTTCATCTTGTGTGTTAATGGACCACATATTGCAGAAATCACAATGCATTTACAGCAGTACCATGCTGTACAGATAGGCAGAAAGGTTAGAAATGGTAAATGACAAGTTTAGTATATTCACCAAACCAGATGAACATTAGTCAATGACCCTTGTAAAGTTTTCTAAGCAAAGCACTTCATATAGTGTCGACAAAGTAGAATCCAATCTCTTGCATAAAGCATCACCCCATTCTGTAATTGGAATTTTGTAATTACATTCATTACATTATTGACACTATTTAAAGGACAATTCCATATTGTATAAAAAAAATCCAAAGGATGACCTAAGTTTAGTGGTGTATCAGTAAATCCAAAAGATTATGTGCATATGGAACTATGTCTTGTCCGAGCTTTCTGCAGCAGAAACAAATGTTCATTGTACAGGGAGTGGTTCAGTCTCACCAGTATTCAAAAGAAGAAATATCCTGAAAATCTTTTTAGTATAAGTGAGGGTTTGGTAGTGGCTCTTGGTCACATACTAAACACTAGAAGGGAGTATAGCAGGTATAATCTACCTGCCTTGATATTTTTGCTTTGGGGAGGCTTTCTTGGAAGGCATGGGAATGCAAAGTAGTAATGTATGGCAAGTATAAGTGAGTCAAATATGGATTTGTCACATCTTTATAAATAGTCTGTATAGTTTGTAAATAGTATAATATATATACAATAGAAAACTATGCTCTTTACCAGATATTCTTTGCTATTCATGCCATTGAAAATTAGATCTTTCTTTCTCCTGCTTCCTGTACAGATCTCAAGGTTTAATCTCCCCTCTTGCACTGGAATGTTCTTTTAACAGTTCCTCATATTGTTTGGGGGCTCGAGTGTTAACATTTCTCTTCTTGAGTATTCATATACACTTACCTGCCATGGCCACTAGGAAAGGACTCAACTTGTTTTGTGTGACTTTATCTCATACCATAGAAATGCACCAAGAGAAGTGGGAACTGAACCAAAGTGGACTGGTACTGAGCCAAGAAATATGGCAGGGCAATTTAGCCGCCATAGTCCTTGAGACTTATAAAATCCATAATTACATAGTTAGTCATGTTGAAAAAAGTTAATCCATTCCAACCAATAAAAAAACTAATAGAAAACCTCCATATACACAATCATATATCCACAGTTGTTCCAGGGCCAAAAAAATGCCAAAAATCCCCAATAAACCATGATCCAATTCACTATCTTGAGGGAGTATATATGGGACCATGTAATGACCCAGCTAAGCAGTACTACTTACAGTTGTGTCCAAAATTATTCAACCCCCAATGCTGTAAAGGGGTTTAGGGACTATAGTGTACATTTGGAATTGTATTCAGAATCAAATCCTACAAGGACGTTGTAACTACCCAAAATGCAACTAAAATGACATCAATTGTTTATGTAATACAGTAGTAAATGGTTCTTATGTGGTTTCTTCATTGCCACAATTATTCAACCCCTTAAAGACTACCACTCTGAAGAACAGAGGTTCATACAGGTGCTTTCCATCAGGTATTGAAAACACCTGTGGATGTCACCGAGCAGCAATCAAGCATAATAAGCACCAATTAGGCAGCTTTAAAATGACTGTGATATACTCAGCTCCTTCTAGACATTTACTGGTGTGGTTACAAACATGGTGAAGGCAAGAGAATGGTCCAGGAAGACAAGAGAAGAGGTGATTTCTCTTCACAGGAAGGGCAATGGCTATAAGAAGATTGCAAAGATGTTAAACATACCAAGAGACACCTTAGGAAGCATCATTCGCAAATTCAAGGCAAAGGGCACTGTTGAAACGCTACCTGGTCGTGGCAGAAAGAAGATGCTGACTTCGACTGCTGTGCGCTACCTGAAGCGTAGAGTGGAGAGAAGTCCCCGTGTGACTGCTGAGGAACTGAGAAAAGATTTGTCAGATGTGGGTACAGAAGTTTCAGCCCAGACAATAAGACGCACACTGCGTAATGAAGGCCTCCGTGCCAGAACTCCCAGGCGTACCCCCTTGCTGTCTCCAAAGAATAAGAAGAGTCGACTGCAGTATGCCAAAAGCCATGTGGACAAACCACAAAAGTTGTGGGATAGTGTTCTGTGGACTGATGAAACAAAATTAGAACTGTTTGGGCCCATGGATCAACGCTATGTTTGGAGGAGGAAGAACAAGGCCTATGATGAAAAGAACACCTTGCCTACTGTGAAGCATGGTGGAGGGTCAATCATGCTTTGGGGCTGTTTTGCTTCTGCAGGTACAGGGAAGCTTCAGCGTGTGCAAGGTACCATGAATTCTCTTCAGTACCAGGAGATATTGGATGGAAACGTGATGCAGTCCGTCACACACCTGAGGCTTGGGAGACGTTGGACCTTTCAACAGGACAATGATCCCAAGCATACCTCCAAGTCCACTAGAGCATGGTTGCAGAGGAAAGGCTGGAACATTTTGGAGTGGCCATCGCAGTCACCAGACTTAAATCCGATTGAGAACCTCTGGTGGGACTTAAAGAAAGCAGTTGCAGTGCGCAAGCCTAAGAATGTGACTGAACTGGAGGCCTTTGCCCATGAAGAATGGGCGAAGATACCCGTAGATCGCTGCAAGACACTTGTGTCAAGCTATGCTTCACGTTTAAAAGCTGTTATAACTGTAAAAGGATGCTGTACTAAGTACTAAGATTGAATGTCACTTGGGGGTTGAATAAAACTGATAATGCTGTGAGCACAGAAAAGACATTTGTGGTTATTTCATTATAACTGTTATGTTATATTTGTCTGACCTACAAGTGCCTCTTTAATGTAAATGTAAGCAAGATGACTGAATGATCAAAAGCAATGTCAAACTGGCCAAAACACTCAATTTCAGTGGGGGGTTGAATAATTTTGGACACAAACTGTATAGCTGAAATATAATTTTGAATCTAATGTACCCTTTTGTTGAGCAACAAAAATATTTATTATACATAGATTTATCTTGCTAATTCCCAACATGCAGCTAATTTTTCACCTATACCGCAACATATAACAAAAAGTATGTGACCTTCTTTTGACCTGACCACATGTTGGGAATGTGTGAAAGGTTTTTCACATTTTGTTTTACTTTGCAGAATGTTTTATGCACATTATTTATTAATAGGCATGTGTAAAAAATGCATGCTGCTTCCACTTCCACTGCATGTTAATAAACTTTTGAACTTCCAATACTAGAAACCGACAGTTTTATTAAACCAGGTCATTCTGTTAACAAACTCTTTGTGTCCCTAAGACATATAAAACTAGATATACAAAAAATAAAAATTACATTTGTGCAGAAATAGTTCTGAAAAAAAGAAAAACTTCTTTAGCTGAAAGTATATCATCTTTTTATTTTTAGTTTTAAAAATGAATTTAATTTTTATTTAAACTGAATTTAAATTTTTGGTTGAAAAATAAATTCTATTCAGCTACAGTATGTATACTAACTCAAAAAAGTCCCTTCTATTTGCTCTCAACTCCTTGAAATTGCAAATTTTTTTTTTTTTTTTTGCTGCTGTGATCCGACTTCCTGTTAAAGGTGGATACGTTCTTTCTTTATGGACCCACTGTAATATAGGAACGTAGCCAATACCCTCTTGCTTGCTCCTGAAGTGGACTTTAGACTAAAGGGTTTGTAGTTTAGATAGAGAAATACATATGACCACAACAAAAGTGCAGGGGGAAAAGGAGAGGCAGAAAAGGAGAGGCAGAAAAAATAGAGTAAGAAACAATGTAATGAAAAATAGATTACTAGGGCCAACAAGTAGTCAATATGTACTGATTATTTTTGGAGAATAAGGATATTGGTTAGTGTCGCTTTAATCCAACGTACATCTCCCAAATTAGTATTTTCATTAGCAAAACCCCACCCATTTTTATTTCTATATGGTGCATTTAGTTTTTGCTGTGGCCATCCTGTAAAGCATTATATTATAGACTCAGACTGCAGTGTAGATATTGGTAATTGCATTCTCAATGGTGTACATAAGTACTGTGGCTGGCAGTATTGTTTATAGATGTTTTTCATTAACATTTATTGACTTACTTCCTTAAGTCCTTTTCATTGCCTTCCAGTTGATTTGATGATGAACGTTTTATGTGTTTTTTGGCAGATTAAGTACTTACTGTTATATGGCCACTGGACAGATGGACTTTATGCTTTGTTTATCATCTTCTTGGACAGTCATTTCATGAATATTTAGCTGTACTCATACTATTGCATGAGGGGTTAAAATTTATAATTTTTTGCTGCCTGGTTTTTAGATTTGTATGTGAAATAAATATTAACAATGATTTTGGTTTTGGGCTCATTACATAGTTGCACAGTTCATAGTTGGGTCAACTGAAAAAAGTCACATATTCATCTCATTCACAAGAAAAAGATTATTTTGCACCCATATCTAAAGTCCACACAACATGTGGTTTGAGCACTGCATATGTTGTGAACATTTTTATCTGCATCGCCTATTGTACTGTTTGGTTCTCATTGTTTTTTTTTTGCTAGTTTATTTATTTGCATCTGTTTCTGACCCAAATTGCCTGTTTTACACATTTGTCAGAACTAGTAGCATCATGAGGTTACCTTTTTCTGTGTATGACAAGCTACTGTATGCTAAGCTGGTACAGTACTAGGACCCTATTTAGAAGGTTTTTAGTTTATAAGTTACTCCTTTTGGTCTGCCCATAGTCACTTTCTTTTTATTTGTACCTGGATGAAAAAAATATAAATATTTGCCGAGATTATGGGGAACATTTAAGTAGCCCAGGTTTTGGATGACATTGGGGTTTGTAGAATCATTTGTACTAACAGTTTTCATTTGCGACTTTATCTTGTAGATAAAGTGTGATCAGTACTGGCCAAGCAGAGGAACAGAAAACATATGGCCTTATTCAAGTGACTCTACTGGACACTGTTGAGCTCGCTACTTACCTGTGTCAGGACATTTGCTCTATACAAGGTATATGTTTAACTTAATAGAAGTTTAGCAGAAATAGCACATACCCTCAAATTTTATAAATTTTTACAAACCACTCAGAAAATTTAAGCTTTAGAAAATGAAAATTGAGTAATAAGCCAGCAAGTTGTTGAGGTTAATTTACTAAGGCCCAGTTCACACTTGTGCTTTGTCTGTAGTTAAGGCAGCTCATTCATTTCAATGGGCTGCCCTAACCACAGAAATGTGGGTAAAGATGTCCACGACCCTTTTTGAAAATTGCACAGCACAGGATTACACGGTGCTGCAGGCATGTTACCAATGCTTGGGGGTACCATTAAAGAATTAATAATACCCACGTGTAGCTGCTAAACAGCAACATGTTTCATGAATGCACACAATTTTGGTGCATGTGTTCTCAGCACGCAAAAGTGTGAACTTAGCCTAAAGTATTTCAGGCTGTTTACTTTTTAAGTATATGCTCGTCTTAAAAAGTAAATGTTAAATAAGGTGAAGCTATGTTTACTACGAATGTCTAAATGTTTGCAAGGGAAAAACACAGAATTTTTTCTTGCATATAACTGGAAGATTGAAGTGAAGACAGTGTCATCTTATTCATTAAGCCAGGTGAAAATTCACTTTGAAAATGCAGAACATTCACATTGCTAAGTAAACAATCTCTTCTACTAGTAAAACACAACAAACTCTTACCATGCATGATCGAAATTCAGCTGGTTCAGCAGGGACCAGCCAAATATCGATCCATATATGGGCAGCCTGGTTGTACACAAGTTGATCTATGGATTGACTTGTGTACAGCCAGCCTGTTGGAAAAATGATCTCTCAATAAGCACTATAGCTGGCAGCACTGATCAGTGTATTCTGTCTGCAGGGAAGTCTTCCCACACTTTGAATACGAAAACTCAGTTGGAGGGATTCCCCCATCCACAACAAGTGTGCAGATGGGGGAATTGATTCATTATCTTATGTTCAACCTGGTGGTTGAGCGAAAAAAAAATGACTGAAAATTTACCCATGTATGGCCAGGTTAATGAGCACAACAAGCACAAAGTCATGTATTCAATTCCGAGCTGAAAATGTGTTGCTTGGTGGAGGAACTAAGCTTCTGCATTTATCGCCTAATTATGGTACAGATGATCAAGACTTTGAAAAAAAATTCCCAAACAGAAACTAGTTAAAGAGTAACTCCACTTTTGTAGGGAGAAAAAACATTCCTCTTTAGGTCACCAATGTACATAGTAGGGATTTTAACAAACCTTTTTGCAGAATTCTACCTTTTGTGATTCTGAAGAAATAGCTGTTTCTTCAAAATAACTGTTTGTCTGTGTCCATATACAGAGTGAATCTGTATGGGAGTCATTACATAATTATCAGTCAGATGCTGTGCCCTCCAGGGCTCTAATGAGGAAATTGGCAGGGTCTGTATCCGTTTAGACATGATTTTTCTTTGGGGTATCTCATCAAAAATGACATTTTGTTGCAGGGGATGCCTTAGTGCAGACTTCTGGGAAAATCAGTGAGGCAATCACACAAGCAGGGAATGGCATTACTGGGGGTGTTCTTTATACCATTTGTATACAGAACACCTCCAAGTAGCCATATATTGAACTGCAAATGACTGCATTGCTGATGGAAAAGGAAAGGTAATTTAAAATAACTTTCAATTACAGTGTGTACTCTTGTTGCAATTGTGTATACTATGGGTTTTTTTTTTGCATTTTTTTCCCATTTAACCCTTTAAAGGAGATCAGAGAGATGAAGGAATTAATTAGTGTGCATTATAGTTACCCTAAAGATCACTTGAATGGGCTGCCTTATGTGCAACAAACATGCCAAAAAAGCTCCTGCACCTTTTCAGGCATGGAGTGTGTTGCGATTTTTTTTCAGTGTGAGTTTTAGCGCATTTGCAGCACATTTGTAGAGTTTGCTAACCGTATTTGGAGTGCCAATTAATAATTAATGGCACCCAAATGCACATTCTGCATTTTGCTGCAATTTTTAGCACAATCTAGCTATAATTTACACGAGGGTTAAAGCAGTAATCACAAGGCAAGTTATATGTTTACACACCATACTTTCCTGCCTAGATGACATTAACAAAATCTACTAAAAAAAAAAACATTTCTAGTAGTCTAATTGCCCAGATCATTCCCATTGTCTTATGCGTATTTGGCTTATTAGATCATGCTCACCAAGCAATGTCTAAACTTCCACTAGTTTCAAAGCCCTTCCTTGGTTTCTGTGCTCCAAATCATGATTTCACAGTATTACCTTTTCCTGTATATGGAAATAATTAAGTGCAGCCATTCATGTTTACATATACCAGAGACCAAAAGTGGTGGTTAGGGCCAAGAGGAGGGGTGTGGCCTCTAAAAGCATGTCACCCGAGATAAGATTCTTCCTTTTCTTTCCTATAGGGGAACTCCTCTCTTGTAAACTTCTACTGGTCAGTCCTGCAAGCAATATTTACTTAGCTTCTTTTACCAGAACAGTTTTTATCAAGCTAGACATTTTCTTTGCTGTATTTAAAAAATGAAATACTAATATAATGACACAGGAGGTAAATGATCTGATTTCCTCCAAATGCTTGCAAAGTACTGATTTAAATTGTCCTCTTCCTTTTTATGACTTTTGCTGCAACTTAATCAGTTAAGAAAAATGTACTACAATCAAGAAATAAAGAAGCAAAATAATGAAATCATTTTGAGTTTTATAGCTTCCTGAAAGTACTAATGCAGGAAATAATGTTACATTTTGAATAATTGTCTCTTGAAAAGCCTATAATTATAGAAACGATGGATGTCTAGTGACATAGATGTATAGCACTTTAAACTGTTATTCAGTGGAAAAAAAATTATTTTTAATAATGAGGGTAGCTATGGCTAATGTGTAGCTTCAGCTGCCATGTGGATAAAAAGCAGTTCTGTTCAGCTGAACTATTTACATCACAAAGATATCTGAAAACGTATTTTTACAGATTTATACCATTCTTTGTTCTGAAAAGATTGCTCATTGCACGTCATGTCTTTTCCAGAACTGATTATTAGGTAGGAGGCTCAGCCTTCAATATAATGTAACTACTTGTACAATAAAAGTTGTGGCATTTGTGCCCTTTAGTGTGTCACTTTCTTTTTTTGGTGACAATGGTAACCGTGAAAATAAAGGTAGTGAATTTCCCCAGTGGGGACAGAGCCAGCATTAAAAACTTCACAGGATTTCTAACTCCTCACCACATTATCCAAAAGCTAATATAAAAAAGTTTGGATTTTAAGACACACCTTAAGATGTAGAGTGAATAGCTGTTCAACTAAAGAAAAAATATATAATTTCATAATGTTTTGGATCTGTAGCAGGCAATTGAATGTCCTTTTTGGTGTGATCCAGGCAGAATGCCCTAGCAAAGTTAGGCTTCTTAGCACACATTGAACAAGCAATATTTTATTATAGTCTTTGATTTGCAGTCATGTGAAGTCTGTCTTTACACAGATCTTTAAAACGTCCCACTCTCTATCAAGGTTGATGAAGATGTCTTAACCATCACTAAACATATGTGGATGAATTATCGTTTCTAGTCATAGGAACACAGCATGATGGGGGAAATGTGGGCCAAATAGTCTAGAGTAGCTTTTTTCAACCAGAGTGCCTTCGGGGTTTTTCAGGGGTGTCTTAGTAAAATTCCTACAAAATTCCCAAAAACTGTATACAAGCGAGCGAATGAATGAAGCCTGTCTTTTAGTTAAAAGGTTTCTATTGTGCACCATTACAACCTTTCAACCACCGGTGTCCTAACATCCAATGATGTAATTGGTTGATAAGGAGGACATCAAATGCCTGCACAGCATCCTTGTTTTCCCTCCCCTGCCCCTGTCCTTCAGCACTGGGGTCCTATTAGCTGAGCAAGGGAAATAGACTGAGGAGGAAGAGAAATGCTAAAATATTTTGTCAGTACCAGCAAGCAAAAGTGTATTTGCTTTGGAAGAATAAATCACCACTAACATTCAGTGTCCTACGCATGTGGATGCTGTTGCATTATGTAAAACTATTTGTTTAGTTTTTTTAAATTTTAGAATGGGGCGCCTCAAGATTGTGCACATTTTTAAAGGGTGCCTTGACTGAAAAAAGGTTGAGAAACACTGGTCTACAGTGTTAAAAATTCAGTGTGGGACACATAGCCGTAGGTTTGAAATGTGAACTAAAATGCATAACCAAATACCCAAAGACAGGGTTACTAAATTACATGACTTTGTTGTTTCCTTTCCTGACATTTTAGTAATTGGTAGATGCCAAAAGAAAGACTGTAACACTTCAAGTGCCTAAAACAACCTCTTGGAAAGTACATGGCTTCAGGTGCATGTTTCAGAAACTAGCTCAATATGTGTGGCAAAATCAAAAAATTAATTCCCACTGGGGTGAGTTTATTGTGTGTAGCTGGCTGTTGACACAGTCCTCGCACGTAGGGCACATGACTCAGGGTGAGGCTATACACAATATACTTACCAGTGGGATTCCCATGGAGTGCTGCCTGGTTTTTCAATTTTGTCAAGTGTAGATCTTTCACATGGCAAACTATATATACCTGTAAACAACAATTCCGCTAAGAAACCCAAGGTTAAGCATGTCACATGTAAATGAAACAGTCTATCAAACTGAGTATAATACACTGTAGAAAGGACATGTTTACTTTAGGCCGTACATTCTTAGGCCACTTTATTAGGTACACCTTGCTAGTACCTGCTGTTTGTCAGTTGCACATCCATGATGCATATCTCCCGTTCTACCACATCCCAAAGGTGCTCTATTGGATTGAGATCTGGTGACTGTGGAGGCCATCGGAGCACAGTGAACTCATTGTCATGTTCAAGAAACCAGTTTGAGATGAACTGAAGTTTGCAACATGGGTACATTGTAGTCATAAAGGGATGGGCATGGTCAGCAACAATACACAAGTAGGCCGTGGCATTTAAATGATGCTCAATTGGTAATAAGCGGCCTAAAGTGTGCCAAGAAAATATCCCCCCCCACCACCACCAGCCTGAACCATTGATAGAAGACAGGATGGATCCATGCTTTCATGTTGTTTATGTCAAATTGTGACCCTACCATCTGAATGTCACAGCTGAATTTGAGGCTCATAA